TTTGACCTAAGGGGGATGGTTTCAAAATAATGTCCTAGTGTAGACCAGGGCCAAATGTGCTACTTCATGCATCTGACACAGTGGGATTTTGCCCATGAAAGCTTATGCCCAAATAAACCAGTGTCTTTAAGGTACCGTGCCTCCTTGTGTTAGTCTTGTGACTCTGGTGCCCTTTTAGCAGCCCAGCAAACTGCAAATCATGGGAAGGAAGCAGAGGAATGCATTACAAATCTGGTATTTCAGCTGCGTACTTAATTCTGCTATTCACTGTCATGCAACAGACTGGTGACACTGCTACTGAATTTTGACTGCAGCAAAACCTCCAGGTTCATTGAAGTTGTGGATGACTTTTCCAGTGCAGTCCTCAGTCCCAACATGTAAGATGTACTAATGGAGCATAATTCACTAGCATCAACAATGGCAACACTTTTAGTTGTATTGGATCTGACACAATAAAAGTGCACTTTCATTCTAAGAGCTTGTTTTTGATGATTTTAGGAAAAGGCTATCTTGTGGGTTACCATGTATATTAGCTAAACCAGACTGTCTCTGCATCAAAGGATAAATGGACACACATCCTTCTACAAAAACCTTCAAAACAGAGCCATCTCCTCCTACTCCCATGGTGTCAGCAGTTAGTTGATGTCCTGATCTAGCCTTAGATGTTGCCACATGAACACTCTTAAGGAATTCCTCATGGGTATGGATGATCTTCAGCCTAGCCATGTCCTCCTATACAGATTCCACCAGCAGGCACCTTTCACATGGGGGGATCTCCCCAGCCTGGATTTCTGTAAGTGGGAAACACAGGCCACAGTCTCCGTAGAAGGTGCTTGGTAGAGGCATCCCTGGCCAAATGGTCTGTTTGGCTACAGGTGCTGGTGGAGGAAATAGGTGTGGTGGCACAGTCATGATGTGCTTCCTAATCATATTGCTTGTAGTGGAACTCTCTCAAGCTTCCCTGATCACTCAGTCTTTGGCTTGTAAGGCTGCCTCTCCTGGCTCAGCCCTACCCTGCTCATTAAGCACAAAGGGGGAGGGTGATCACCAGGCTGACCAAAGGAACAAAGACTCATAATCCCAACTGATACAGTAACTGACATCACCCAAAACAGGAAAAAAAATGCAAATAAACATTCAAGCAAGCTCATGCACCCCCAAGTTAGTACTCACACCTTCTTTGTGCAGCAAGGGCTCTCCTTCTCTCCCTGGGAGAGCTGAAGAGCCTGAAGGTTCAGAGCACAAACAGCCTGGAAACTGGCCTCCCTCCTGCCACTCCAGAGCCAGTGTCAGTGCTGTGCAGGGATTTGGCACATGGAGGGTTTGACTCCTTCTAGCCAGTGCCCCACGCCGGAGCTCTTGGCCTTTCCCAGAGGCAATGGGAAAAGGAAGCAGGGCACTCTGAACAGGAACTTGTTCTCTGGACAGTTATAGGAGCAGGATGCACCCTAGATGGGCTATTGAGGAACAGCAGGAGTAAGGGGATGAAAGACACACCAGGGCTATGTCTACACTTGCGGCTTCTTGCCCAAGTATGGCCATTCTTGTGCAAGAATCTGCAGAGCATCCACACTGCTTGCCCGCTTTTGTGCAAGGAAGTTTACAGTACTGCGTGGTAAGAGGGGGCTCTTTGCGCAAGAGCTTTGCCCTTTTTTAACAGGTGTAAGCCCTCTTGCACAGGAGCTCTTGTGCAAGAGGGCAGTGTGGATGCTCAGCAGGGATTTCTTGCACAAGAAGGCCCTATGGCTAAAATGGCCATCAGTGCTTTCTTGCACAAAAGAGCGTCCACACTGCCATAGGGGCTCTTGCACAAAAGCACAGCTCGCACATGGCAGTGTGGATGTTTTCCTGCGCAAGAGTTTGCACAAGAAGCTGCCGGTGAAGACATAGCCCAGGAGAGGAAAGCAAAAGGGGAAGCAAGTAATGAGCTGAGGGGTGGGTAGTGGAGGCAACATGTAACCAGCCACTGCCTACCCGCACACACTGGACGCCATAGCTCACAGCACTCAACCAAGCCAGATGGAAATGGAAGGGAGGGCCAGGGCTCTTTTGACCAAGAGCTGGCATAAAGGAAGGGCTGCCCTGATAGAGAAGCAGGAGCAGCCAGCAGCCATGTGTGCTGCAAATGGATGCTCAGTGCAGCTTGGGCTGGAGGAAGCAGGCCCCCAGCCCTACCTATAGCCCTGCCCGTCTCTGCTGAGGCCCTGCACCTCCATAACAGGAAGAGGAGGGGGCAAGCGTGCACACACCTCAGCCTCCTCGGCCCAGAGCACTGGGGAGGGAGGCGGGTGTGCTGCCCGAGCCTCCCCAGCCCCAGAGAGCCAAGGAGGGAAGAGGATATATGGCCCAAGTGTCCTCAGCCCAAGAGCATCAGGGATGAAGGAGGGCACACAGCTCCAGCCTCCCCAGCCCTGGAGCACCTGCAGAGCAGCAACACTCCACCCTCACAACAGGCTACCAGACACACATGGTGCTGCATCTTCACACCTCCAGCCTCAGCCACTGGACCCCCACTTGTTGCTGGTGGCAGGAGCTGGTGAGCAGGGATCCAGCTAGCAACAGGACCTGCCAGTACTGATGGAAGGGGAAAGAAAATATGAGACAATTTGCTAATTTTAAAGAAAAAGTTGGCAAACTGGCTGGTAGGCTTGAATACAGCACCATCCCTTTAAAAACAGGACCTCTGGTCACCCAATTTTCAGAGAACTATCCTCAATGATTCCTCAAGCTCCCCTGATCACTCAGTCTTTGGCTTTTAAGGCTGCCTCTCCTGGCTCAGCCCTACCCTACCCACTCAGATCTTTCTTGAGTAGTTACAGATAATTCATTTTATATGTGTCATTGAGATGGTTTTCACATAGCTATGTGAAAACAAACCGTTATATGGATGTAGCTTATGTAGGCAAAGGAGCCCAATAATGCTTATGTTGTTTGGAAATGTGGTTGATGGTTTAACTATACGGGCCAAAGCACTCCTTTGGATAATATACACTGCATCTCCACTAGGGGGCTTTTGCATACAGTATAGCTGTACTGGCAAAACCTTTGCAGCTGTGAGTCTCAGACCTCAGTAGTTCAAGAGCCAAATGAGCAAATTATCCAAAAGAGCCACAGTACTGTGAATTCATTGTTTTCTTTGCACTATACTTTCACCACAAATTGATTGACCACACATTGTACAATTGCTTAATAACACAGTAAGAGGATCCCGATTGGTTAGTAACTTAGATCAGTCAGTTAACAGAGATTTAATATTGTGTACTGCACAGAGCCACAGGAGACACATTTAAGAGTCACTTGTGGCTCGTGAGCCTCAGTCTGAGTATCACTGCTTTGCAGTGTAGATTAGCCCTCAGGGTCCCTGTGCCTCACTTTCCCACTTGTACAATGGTATCTTGTATTGTAATAGTAATTCCTTACCTCACGGGGGTATTGCAAGGAAAAACTCACTAAAGATGAGGCTCTCAGATCCTATTGTATCGGGGGCATTTAAATAATTAAGACAAAACTACATAGTAGGAATGCCTCAAATAGTGTACGTGTATTAAGAAATGAAAACAATGCACAGGGCCATACTTTGTAAGTGCTTTTCCTTGATGTCTTATTCAATATTTATCAGATTCAGATTAGCTATCCAGTTTTAGAGGTAATGGGGCTAAATCCTGGCTTAGATTCCATCTACGACCAGCACTCTGCAGAATTCCTAGTTGCCTCCACAAACGCAATCTCAAGCTCTGCCCCATTAGAGCTAGCCACACAGCACTTAACTAACAGCTGCCTAACTTCTCTTTGAATGTCTCAACCCCCGCCTTCATTTTTTTTTGCCAAACATTTCCCACAATGCTACTACCAGCTCAGCTCCAGCATTGGTAGACACAGTAAAGAATAGACAGGTCCAGGGACCATTGGCATCTTATGCACTGTTGCTTCAGGGCTACACAACATAGCGGTTAGATCGCCGGCAGCCACTGGTGCCTATCTGTACTAGCACTTTCTCACTTATGCAGTGATGAGCAGACCCAGAATTAATGACTCCACATCAGAGACTAAGGCACATCCCTCTCTCTGAATAATGCATTCTTGCCCATGCTGCCTGTCACCTTGGAGATTGCTTGTAACTGGGAGTAATGTAAGGAAAAAACACTTTGTGCCTTTGACTGTGCTTTAGCACTGTCCATCTTAGAGCAGAATTAACTCCCACTCAAGTAGCCTTCTGGCTTGGAGAAGAGCATGCTAGAAAGTACAGTGCTAGTTTGGCCCTTCCTCCCACCTAACAGAGCTCTTATTGAGTTGGGATGGAGAGTTTCTGTTGAGAGGAAAATGCAGCAGGAGAAATCCTTCCCCCCAACCAATGTTCTAATTTTTTCCATCCATGTGTGGAATAAATGTTATGTGCCCCGAGGTATGTGAAGATGTGTACCACTAGTAGAAACACATGCTGCTGGTTTTGGGCACTTTGCTAATCAGCTGGGCAGCATTTAAATCTCTTCTGATGGCAACCCAAACACTTAGCCTCCAGGGAACACTGCCATGATTTACAATCATGCCTAATTAACCTATGGCGGTCCCTGACACAATTGAGACTTGGGGCTTAGGGGGAATTCAGGACTAAAGAAATATAGTTAGATTAAATGGGACGGAAATGTAAAAGGATACAAACTCTTGCCCAGCCAAATGCCTGCTGTATGGAAGAGACTTGCTAAGGGGTAGGCTGGGTCATAACTGTCCATTAAAGGGAATCTTGCACCTTACTTTGAGGCATCTAGCACTGGTCATTTCCAGGGACTGGATACTGGACTAGACGGACCATTTGTCTGATCCACTACAGCAATATGTGCATTTTTATGTGTCTAAACTATTCCCTCCCTTCTGCTCCCTCAGTCCTGTTCCACAAGTTTCTGATCCCCCTGCTCATGTTAGTGTTATGGAACATAAAGGCCTATGTCATCTTAAGAAATACAAATAATAGCAACATAAATTAATTATTAGCACACACAATGTTACAGCATTTCATTCTAATAACTTTTATTAGGTCATTCCAACAACTATTACCAGAAGTACCATTCAGCTCATTTGCAAATGCATGAATTGACAAACATCAAATCCTTACCAGAATCACATATTCTTACAGGTGTCCCAGACACAACATTAACTATATTAAGCAAAATTCATAAATAGTAAAAGTTCTCTTTTTTCACATTGCAGCCTTCCTCAAGCATGTATGTACGGCTTCGGAGTATTCTCCCCCATAAACTTTCTTAGTTGTTGTAATAGCCATAGAGATGATGGTTTTTTTCTGCAGAACCTTTTTCCCTTTAGCAATTGACAGTTAGTATTGCTTTCAGCACATGACATGTTTGCATCTGAAACGAAGGTGGTGGTGTAACACAATCTAGTATTATCAGCTTGTAGTTTCCCCCCATACTCTATCCTCATTAGAAACCTTTCAATGGTACAGGCTGAACCTCTCTAAACCAGGACTTTGGTCCAGCAACATCTGTGGTCTAACAGGACCACAGATGCTCCAGGATCAGACAGTCCTGGTGGAAGGCGGGCGACTGGGAGCCCTGAAGGCTGGCAGGGTAGTAGACTGCTGGTAGCCTGGTGCATGGCAGCAGGGCTGCCCACTACAGGGCCAGGTAGGCAGCAGGGTTGGGGAGCCTGACATGTGGCAAGGCAGTTTGGCTGGTGAGCCCGGGGGCACAGCAGGTCCAGGGAGTTCAGGTGTGCAGCAGCAGGGCAATAGGGCCGCCTGGCAGGGCAGTGGTGCCAGTAGCAGTGGGGGAGCCGGGCCAGGGCTAAGTGGGTCGGTGTCAAGGGGACAAGAAATGACCTCCCCTGGTCCGGCAAAATCCCTCAACTAGACCGGTCAGATGAGGTCCAACCTGTAACACTTCCCCAAGAACAATACATTTTCCACATAGGCAGCTCCATTCTAATCACTCCCTCTCCTTGAACACATTAAAGTCTGTGACTTCCAGCAATGGTGATGTTATAGTTAAGGTGGACTATCAAGCAGTTCTTTCCCTCGATATTTACAGTCACTTTTACTCATGCTACAATATATGACTCAAAAATGGACATACATTTTCTGAAATGTTCACAGTGCAGTGTTGTGGCCTACCAAACCTGGTATATGTCATTAAAAATAAACATTTTTTATAAAAATAGAATACTTTAAGTGTTTACACTAACAGCCAGTTACATCCTACACCAAACAAGCTATACAGTAACACGCACAGAATTCCACAGGAACAGAAATAACACATGATGCTTGCCCTAAAGCTATATTATTCTTCTCTACATAACAAAATCTTTAATTAGTGTCTCTCCTGAAAATCATTTCTGGTCATGATTTAGGAATATACTATGTATCATCATTCGCTGGACTTGATTAACTCAAGGAGCAACTATGAGCACTAAAAACAGGTTTCTTTTGTTCAATGTTCTTAAACCTTCAGTAATGGCATGCAAAGTTTAGCAGCAATCTCACCATGTGGCAGCCTTTTTGGCTCAGAGTTGGCTTTCCTTAGTTGGCTCAGCATCTCCTCTTCTCAACCCCTCACACACATTATGCTGAAGTGCTTTTGCATGGTTGGTTAGTGTAGCTGTAGCTACTAAACATGTGGTCACCCCAGCCAGCAGCTCCTTGCTCTGTTACTGCTCCCCCATCTACTTGGCTACTTCTCCAAATGATGCTCCAAAAACTGCTGCATCCTAGGCTTTAGCCTACTGTAGTGGTCTCCAACTACTTTTTGAATCTGTCAGTCCAGGATCTACCTCAAACCCAAATACCCCTGCCCCACCCCTTTGCCAGGGCCCCACCCTCCTCACTTTGTGAAGATAGGGTATGGGGGTGGCAGAGTGACATCAACGCCCCCCTGCCTCTATCTCCCCCCACTCTGCACAACAAGCAGGAGGCTCTTGGCAGGAACAGCAGGATGGTGGAGGGAGGGGTAGCTGAAGTACAGGCACTTGTTAGCCTTTTGGCCAAACCAGTCAGGATCATCTGTCAAAGGCTCTAAGATCTACTGGTAAATCCCGATTTACTGGTTGGTGACCACTGGCCTAATGGTTAATATGGACTCCCTAAGTTTTCACTCTCATGGAGCAGCTAATACCTGATTGACAAAAGAGAAACCTCACAATTTTCAATAAGAAATCTGTACATACAAATTATTTCTCAAAGAAGTGACTGAATTTTGGAATGACAGTGACATTAACATTGATACAGCTCTTCTCTGGGTGTGTTCCCTTACATTTTAGGTACAGCATAAATATACTTCTCAAAAGTTGACACATTTATTTCATGGCATTTTGGAATGTTATTTTAGAAACTTGCCATGAGGCAAGGAACCTTGTTGATATAATGGGCAAATGAAGAACAAAGATAGAGTCTAAATACAACAGGAAACATTTTACAGTCTTGGGATTCTTCTTATTTGGCCTGGTTTTAGTGTGAAAAACATTACTGCATGGCCCATTGACCAACAGTATATGCAACAGGAATGGTACATCAAGCTCGAGTGATTGGTACTCTAGCCTTTCCCCTTCTTGCATTAATGATGAGTCTCTGTACATCTCTGTTGTTCATCTCTCATTCTGCTGTACATGCTCTAAACTACAATAGAACCCAGGCTGCAAATGGTGAGTAAATTCATTTCACAAATGAATGAGAGATGATGGGTACTAGCACTAGATGGTAACAGAGTCTGGAAAATTGAAACAGCTGCCCCAGAGATTTGGGATTTACCACTGTAGTGCATAGAATCCCACAGCTATAAACAGCATACCCTCTCATCAACAGTATAGTTCGGACAACATCAAACATGTGCAACAGTGTTTTCACAAAAACTGGGCAGTGAAAAAGTAGTGGACAAAACATTTACTTTTGTTCAGACTACTACTAATGGCATTGTATTGTAAACAAACCTGATCATGTATCCACATCCCTATCTATGTTATCTTGTGATGACAAAAGAGAAGGATAGGGAGCAACACATTTCACATTGACATACATGGCATTGACATGAACATAATGCTCTCCAATAAAAGTGGAGAAGATTGTTGATATTTTTGAAACCAGTTCAGAAAACGTTGGGCGCATTTCAGGCTTTGGATGCCAACACTTTAGCATGACTTCAAACCTGCCATTGAAAAAAAAAACCAGTAAGTGCTCATCTATGAAATATGCAAAATAAACCGAACAACCCAGAATCAATAATATTCAAAGGGTGCGTTGCAAACTATTTACTTACAGTGGGTCAGGGCAGTATTCTGGCTGCAGTAACCTTCTTCCTTGTAATAAGTAAATAGTTATATCAAAAGAATTCACATCAGGGTAAGGCGGTGCTCCTCTCGTCATAAGTTCCCACAGCAACACACCAAAGGACCACTAATAAAACAAACCAATGGGAAAACACAGGTGAGAGAGAGTTTTGAATTCCACTTGTCTGGAATATGGTCTGACAGATTTGATCAGATCCAGTTTCCCTGTGAAACAAGCTATTTTACTGCATGCAACATATAAATACTGCAGAAACTTGAGGAACAACTTAAACTAGAACCAGGGAAACTGAACTGAATAATTTAAAAATAAAAGCCTGTGAATCAACTACTTAGCTGGTGAAATTAGCACTGCTTCTCTGATACCAATGGAACTCCACCAATTTACGGCAGCTGAAAAGTAGGCTAATACTAAATATATAAATATTGGAGAATACAAATGGCTGAAATTCTACACACCAGACTAATCTGAATGTGAATTGAGTTTAGGTGTAAAATACAAAGTGATGCAGCCAACTAGTGACTTCAACTAGTAACTTTTTTCTGCATAGAAAGCCAGGTAACATTTGATTGCAATGGTCAAAGAATTACAGTAAAACTCCATTGGTCCAGCATCCAATGCTCCGGCACTCCTGATGGTCTGGCACCATCGGGAACTTGGAAGTGCTCTGGTCAGCCGGACAATTGGAGCTGCTCTATGCCTGGCTTCCCCGATTCAGCCGCTGCTGAAACTGACCAGCATCTGAATCGGGGAAGCTGGGGGCAGAGCAGCTGGGGTGCTGTCCCATGCATCCCCAAGAGCAGCTAGGGTGCTGCCGGGTTGGTCTTGCAGCGTCGAGGGGCGGCGCTACCAGACCAACCTGGCAGCACCCCAGCTGCTCTGCCACAGGCGTCCCAGATTCAGCCCCTGCCGGAACTGACCC